AGAATTGCAATATAAACAACTTTTGGCTGAGGGTCACATCAGAAATCCTCACCGAATGGGAGATAAAAAAAGAAAATAACAAAATCGCACTAAAGAACCCTACTTTAACCCCTCTTAGCCCTTTAAACATAATTTATACCCCCCTCCCCCCCCCTTGACAACCAACTATGAAAAAATGAAATGAGCTCAGATTTGGGGTCCTATGAGAAAGTTCAAAAAGGTAAAAGTTTTTTTTTTTTTTTTTTTTTTTTGCATGCCCAGGTTCCCCTGGCATCAAACCCCCCTGGACATCACGCCCGGGTGCCCAGGTGCCCGGCTGTGCAGGCTCGCTCGGCATAAAAAACTTCCTAGTTAATTTTTATTTTGTCGCAATAGGGAAAACACGTGTACTAGTGTCTCACCTGTGTTGCAAGAGGGATGACCGCATTGTCAAAGTTGCAACAATGCGTGAAACTAAGATTGTCGTTTTCGTGTGTGCCGTTATAACAATCACCCTACAATCTTCCCCCTAACAAAACGAATGTGCGTTGTATATGAATGAAATGGACAAGGTGCATTGTATTCATATCTAACGCATGTGCATTATGCTACAAATGTGGTACTAACTTCGGAAAAAAACAAAAACATAAGTATATGCCCGTACCTTTGAAAAAACGAGGGTTTGTCCTTAGAGGCATTCCTTAAAAATGGAACAACCTATATGACTCGATAAATGGTCCGCAAAATATTAAAAAAAATGGAAAAACATACAGAAGGGCTTGATACCGAGACTCTCTCTTAACTGCTCACTAAATATGCAAAATGTGAATCTTATGCTATAAAATAGAAGTATACATCGCCACATGTTTTTTGTCTATTGTGCATGTGGAGAGTAGTGGAGTGAGGCCCCGACTGTATGTAGTATCTGGACAGTTGGCCCCACACCGGCGGTGCGTAACATTCAAACAATATAGTCGGATGTCAATGTAGTATGAGAGCAAAGATCCGCCATCGCCATCACCTGCCAAGATCCGCCAAGATCCGCCATCGCAGTGAGCGACCAAGAAGACGCCCACGTAAGGCACGCACACACACGAACATACACACACACATATATATATATATACATAAAGAGAGAGAGAGAGAGAGAGAGAGAGAGAGAGAGAGAGAGAGAGAGAGAGAGAGAGAGAGAGAGAGAGCACCCGTATGTTCAATTTTAATAGAACACATGCCTGCTCGAAGAAAACATACGTGCATACTATTTGGGTTTCAAAGCGTTACTTCGAGAAATTGACTTTCCTACGGAAAGTTGAATAGTAAATATTACGTGCGTTTTGTCCAGAGGAAGGCTGTAGCGGAGACAACTGTCATCCACTAGTTTCCTTCATCTATCATGATGTTATGGAGAATGCAAAAGTTTATGAATTAGAAGTACACAATCTTCTGTCTGAGATATGTTTTGGTTGAATTACCTCCACACACCCTTCAACTACCCAGATGTTATCTCGACTGCTGTTCTCAAGGAACTAAGCTTCTCGTCATAGACAACATCTATGGGTATTTTCTGCCTCCCACCTATGGTAGTCATGGCCAACACAATGTAAGGTAACCTACATCACCCAGCAGGTACATCCCCACCAGCCCACGAGTCGTGAAAACATACAAGCCAATGTTGAAGGGATTTTTCCCTGAACCGGTCTTATTGCACAAGTAAGGCACATGCAAAACTCTAGCATCATGTAGGAATCTGGGGGCACCAACACATAATCCAAGATCCGTTTCACAGAAAATATAAGCAACCATCGAGATTTGGAGGGTGCGATCATATTATGCATTGGAGCTTCATTCCATAACTTGTCAATCTAGATATGTGTGTAGTTTATCATACCGTACGAACAAGGATAGCCATGTTGCGCAAAGTAGTCCAGTGTGTTATGTAGATGAGTGTCAAAGATTCATTCTATCATATGGCCATAATATGAAACAATAACCTTCAAGACTTTGTCTCTACACTTGACAATGTTTTATAACCCAATGCCAAAGTCGTTTCCATCTTGCCTGTAGTATCCTCTTATTGCCGAACATTTTAAAGCAGAAGCGAACTTCAAGTCAATATCCAAAGATGACTTCCAACTTTAAGTTGTATATTGTTTTTTTTTATGCGTGACACAATGTGCTTATCAAACATTCGCATTGTGAGACAGACAAAGTGTTGAAAATCTTAGTCCTCCTCATCTCATCCTGAAGTTCCTGCCATATCCCCCCCCCACATTTCCTCACCTAGAATTGTTGCAACCCAATCCCCCCATAATGTTTGCCACACACCTAGTGGACACTCAGAAACCCATCCAGAGCATACCCAACGCATGAAGGGTAGTGTCGTCCCCTAGCACAACACCACACGGGACACGTATAGCGAGCTCAATGACAGGTCGTGAAGCCACCTTCACCAACTGCAGCCAACATGTAGCGCCCTCAAGTTTGAAGCAAATGACATTTCCTCAAAACAGATTTGTCATAGCGATGTAGCTATGACCACCACAACGCCTTCCACCCTACCACAACACGTGCCCGTTGAGAGTTGGCTATGGCACAGCGGTGGCTTCACCGATATGCGCCTGCCCGTCCCCTCGAAGGGTCATAGCGGAACAGGTCCAAGGCTTTACCCAACCCTGGGAGAGAAGGGGACTGGACAAACGAGAGAAGGTGAGCTGCAATGGGATGTTTCAAATTTTTAATCTCAAGCTCCCCGAAGCGCATGGGGGGGGCGGTCCATTTTGGAAACTGTGGTGTCCCATAAAACTCGTTGTTTGTAGCGGACCCACTAGGTGTGGTGCTCCGCTAGTGACAGAGATGGAGATGGAGGAAGAAGGGGGAGCAAGATGGCACAACGCAGCTCCCCACGCAAGACTCCAACGCACGTACTCCAAAATGTGCAAGTGAGGAATGAGACTGAAAACAGACAATGGTTGGGGTATACCCCAACGAACTGACGGGACTGGACTGGACTGGCTGGTACCGACAGAGGTACCGGCCTGGACTGGCCTACCCCGAATATAACACAGGCCTGTGAGAACAGGCCAAGGGGCTGGTCTCACAGGCCAACCTGAGATCCGCTACACGATCCTCGGCCTGTGATGGATCGCCTAGATACAAACATGCTTCCGCCAAGAAGCGGAACTCTACCAAAGAAAAGAAAACCTGAGTAGTCTAGGATGCGGAGCAAGCTCCATGCTGAGTCCATGCGATGCAACCTAGGATATAAAATGTCACAAAACAGCAATGTCACAGCTAACAGCCTAAGTGAAAGGAGGAGCAACTAACTAACATACATGTCCTAAGAAAGCAAAAAGTAGTGACAACTAGATCCTAGAATGTTGGAGGCACTAGCCTCAGTCTGGTAACAACTGACTAGTGTATAAGTCCTAAGAACAGCAAAAGCAGAACAGCTAAATCCTAGAAACGTCGAAGGCAGTAGCCTCAGTCTGAGAGCAACAAAGCAATCAACAAGACAACCATATGTCACATGAGAATTGTGTCGCACACCAAAGGGTGGGATGATCTCTGAGGGTGGCGAATGCAGCCTAGGGGTCGAAAAGTCCTAAGGGCATCCACACATAGTGACAGGGGAAAACACATGTCATCAGGCTCAATGAGGGTAGGGAACTGGGAGCGAACATAACCAATGACCCTAACAGATAGACCATCAGGGCGGGTAATGCTCGACTAAGGGGTGACCGCTATGGAGGGTCGACCATACAAGGGAACAAGGGAGCCTGGTATAATGGGCGCAGCTAGATGAAGCATGCGGGGCTGCCTAACTAAGGCGTGAGGGCCGGCGAAGGGTAGAAAGATGATGGGTAAGGGAATCATGCAAACGACTCCTAAAGTGAGGGAAGTCGGAGCTAGATCCGTAAGATGGGAAGCCAGGGCAACGCTACGGTCCCGATGCCTATGCGTATACCAAGGGAGAGCCCAACTCAGAGGAACCCGGCTAAAGGGAGACCATCATGCGACACAAGCAGGGTACTGTACAGGGTAGAGTGGTAAGAGAGTGGCGACGTCTGAAGTAGGCAGAGCTGATCGTGATGAAGTCCATGAAGCTGCCGATGACGTCCACGATGTGAAGTCCGGAATGCCGACGAGGAAGAGCCGCAGCGTCGACGAGCTGAAGTAGCAAAACTGATGTGGATGGAGTATTGAAAAGTCAAAGACGTGGGAAGGTAAGTCAGAGTCAATCGTCGTATCGAGCAGGATGACGACGAGTGCGCTGTGGACGCTCAGAAGCATCCGGCTTCTGCTGAAGGTCTGCCTCAGATGGAGCAGGCTCAACTTCAGCGGTCTCCTCAGCCGGAGGAGGAGGAGGGTCAGTGGGCTGAGGAGGAGCAGTGAACCCAGTACGACGAGCACGATCATAGGCACGCACAACATGCGAGCGTGCTCCAAGTGCTCGAGGGGCTCCCAGGTAGCCTCCTCATCAGGGTAACCCTTCCAACGTACGAAATACTCGACGTGGGGAGGGTTGTCGTCGGTGACTCGGCGACCAATGATGTCTGAAACGAGGAACTCCTCGTGGCCGTCCACCATGATGGGTAGAGGGCACTCGTATGGTCGTCCAGCAAAACGCTCAGACGGTCTGCGGTAAGGACGCAGTAACGAAACGTGGTAGACATCATGCACACGAGCCTGGCGTAGGTAGTCGGGCAGCTGCACACGAAAGCTGACCGGGCTAGATGCCGTATCAGAACCGACGGCCTGGAGGAAGCGGCATGGGCCGAAGAAGCGACGCCGAAACTTGCGAAGCGTGTCCGCTTCGAGCTGTAAGTGGCGGGCGTCGATAAGCACATCATCACCAACCTTGAATGGGTGATCCATCCTCGATAGGTTCGCACGTGCTGCCATGCGAGTCTGGGAAGCGGTTATGTGCTCATGTGTGGTCTTCATAATCGACGTCATGTGTGCAACCCAATCATCCAGCGCGGGACAACTCGTGTCGGGGTGCATCTGGGACGGTCGAAGGAAGTCCGCGGGAACACGCGGGGGATAGCCGAGGTCGCAATAGTAAGACGGCATCCCCGTGGCTGGCGAGACGGCGTGGTTGTAGGCTATCTCCTTGTGGGCAAGATGGAGATCCCACTGCTGGTCGTCACGAACAATCTTTCGAAGAATATCCCCGAGAGTCCTGTTCGTGATCTCGGTCTGACCATCAGTCCGAGGATGGTAAGACGAGGAGAAGCGGAGCTGAGTGTCGTACACCTCGTGGAGCCGTCGCCAGAATCGACTGGTAAAGCGCGGGTCACGGTCAGATATGATGCTCAGAGGTAAGCCGTGGTCACGCACGACTCGGTCAAATACGATGTCGGCGACCTCACGTGCACTGATGGCATGGCGGCACGGAACAAAGCGTGCACGCTTCGTGAAGCGGTCGACGACGACCAGGATAGCATCATGACCGCGGGGGGTCGGAGGTCGAAGAGGACCGATAAAGTCCATCGAGATGGACTGCCAACGACCCTCAGGGATAGGAAGAGGCTGGAGCAAACCATAAGGTAGGTGGAAGCCCATATGACCGGCAACTGCCTGGTCATGGAACTCTGCTACTGCTCGGACACGTAGCTGTCCAGTGGAGGGAACACAAATACGGGGCTCTCTGGTGCCCTGTGAACCGTGTCAGTACACAAGACCGTTGTCCCCGAGAGAGTAGTTCGGGACGGTCTTGCCACTCCGAAGGGTCGCGTGGATGTCGCGATAGTCGKGGCAGTGGCGGTACTGAGTGCGAAACTCGTCGATCACCGAGTGGTGGACGGTGCTGACCGAGATGGAAGAGAGCTGGATGTGCTCCTGGTCGTGGTCAGGGCGCCGGGATAGGGTATCTGCGACCCGATTAGTCTCACCCTTGATGTGCTCAGTGGTGAAACTAAACTCGGATAGGTCGTGCCACCAGCGAGCCTGTCGAGGAGTGAGCTTCGGCTTTGTCAGAAAAGCCTGGACAACAGAGTTGTCCGTGCGCACCGTGAATGGCGCCCCGTGCAGGTAGTGACGCCAGTGCCGAGCGGCATAAACTACTGCGAGAACCTCACGTTCATCAGCAATGTAGTTTATCTCGGCGGGCAGGAGCTGACGGGAGTAGAAGGCTATCGGACAATCACCTGAGCGAGACTCGACAGTGCCGTCCTCGGCGATGGTAGGAAAATAGTCAATAGAAGGCTCGTCAGTAGCTGGACGAGTAGGCGTCAGTCGGGAAGCAGTGGTAGGGGTAGGTGGTGGGAAGCGAGGGATACGAGGATGAGAGGAATCAGGAGATGAGGGGGAGACCTAAGAAAACACTGCTCCTACAGCGAAGTCTGACGCATCGGTGGTAAGGATAAAAGGGCGGTCAAAATCGGGTAGGTGAAGAACCGGTGCGCATGTCACCGCCTTCTTGAGGGCGCGGAAGGCGTCCTCGTGGAGGGGTGTCCAAGCCCAGGGTGGGTTCTTCCGGAGGAGGGTGGAGGTAAGGACGTAGGAATACCTAGCGTATCCCCGGATGAAGTTACTATAGTAGTTGTTCATGCCTAGGATCTTCGCAATAGCAGTGATCTTCGCGTCGTCCATGTGGAGACGCTGGTCAGACACGTAGTGTCCTAAGAAATCCACTTTGTACTGGGCAAAGCGGCATTTGCTTAGCTTGGCGTAGAAGTCATGTCTGCGCAAGCGGTCAAGGACGTCGCGGAGGTGTTTGAGGTGCTCCTCTAGGGTACAAATATAGACCAGGATATCGTCGAGGTAGACCCGAATCGCGATCGGAACGTGGTCTTCGGCTGGTCGGCTGCAGCGACGCGGATCAGATGGTAACCGCTACGAAGATCAATCTTCGTAAAGAAGCGGTTGCCTGCTAGGCGGTTGAACAGCTCATCGGAACGAGGCATGGGGTAGCTGTTCTTAACCGTGTAGCGGTTGAGGCCGCGGTAGTCGATGCAGAGACGAAAAGTTTCATCCGCTTTGCGAGCAAAGAGGACGGGTGCACCCCACGGGGAGTTGCGGGGTTTAATGAAACCCAGTCTCAGGAGATCCTCAAGCTGACGCTTGAGTTTGGTGGCCTTGGGGATCGAGAGTCTGTAGGGTGCCTGGTGGTGAACACGATAGTCAGGCACGAGCTGAATGGAGTGCTCAACGTCACGCATCGGTGGGATGCCGGCGTACGAGAACAAGATGGGAAAACGTCGTGGTACTCTCGGATGAGGTCACGAACTGCGGGCTCCAAGTCAGCCGTATATCGATCGAGTTCCTCAGCGTCAGCGTCAGCGCGCGACGGTGGGGTGGACTCGACGGACGGCGGAGGGATGGAAGTAGAGATAGGAGCCATGGAGATAGAGGGAGGATCTGGCTCCAGAGTGATGAGCTCGGCGTCGGGACAGGGTGGATCATAGTGTAAGAGATCCGTCACGTCCACCATAAAGAAGGTGACGTCGTCCTGTCGAATAAAGTGAGCGAACTGCCGAGGCGAGGTGACAGTGATAGAGGGAGATGGTGTGGGCACTGAAGGCTCCGGGGGAGAAGGATCGGGGCGTGGTATCGCCGTGGTACCTATGAAAGGTACGCGATACGTCTGTCCACACTTCGTTTTGAGAACGAGAGTGTTGGTCGCCCAATCGGCCTCGGTGCTGCGGAACCGACGAGACCACGGAGTGCCGAGAATGAAGTCGTACCCCGTCTCCATCACATCGATATGTGTAGAGGAGCGGTGGCGACGAGACGCCGGGGAACGCTCAGTCGGCTCGAGAGTGAGGAAGAAGGGGAGGTCGGTGACCGTCTGATCAAAGAAGCGCTGGGTCTTGTCATCCCCTATGGTAACGGAGATGGGAGTCGGAGACCCTGTCGTGGGTAAGCGGGCTTCCTTCACCACGCGTGGGTGAATGAAGTCGCCCTGAGAACCGGAATCCCACAGCGCTGAGTACASCCTCGTGGAGGTTCCGAGTCGTACGGGGATGATCGGGAGGGTGCGATCAGGGTCAGAGAGGATGGCGAGAAGGCGACGCAGTGCAGCGACATGGAGGGTGAGTCGCTCCTGACAAGCCTGGAGCATGCTCAAGTCCAGAAGAGAGGACACAACGTCCTTGCGAGTAGCAAGCTGCTCGCTGCAACGGGTTGAGCGAATGGCTCGACGCGTCGATAGTCACGGCGGGGAAGGAGGGGAGACGGTGGTCTGCGGAGGCGCAGACGGTACTGCGACAGAGGGATGAGTACACTCTGTCGAGTCCTGCGATACCTCAACTCCAGTA